GGCAGGTAGGTAGATAAAATACAGATATAGGTTATAATAACACACTGTCTTTTGATCGGCGTCGGCTATGTCTTGAAGGTTGACCGGAAATTCGGAAGAGGTTGTCGGTTCTGGAGAATTAGCACTGACCTAGGGAAGGCCTCGAGGTCGTCGATGGCACACATTCCGAGTGCGCCTATATTAAGTTAACTGCTTCATAGCTGCCGATTGGACAGCCGGTTTGCCATTGCCAACATATAGGTATACGCAGGGCATAGGCAATGCCAATTGCACGCATCCGCAAATTTGCCACCAACTGGCACGCTTATGTTATAGAGTTACTGCGGCTCTACCTAAGTGGTTCCTCTCTCTAAGACACTGCGTAAAGGTATGCTCACAACGATTTCATTGTGTGTGCCGTAACATGGGAGCGATGTTTTACAATTACACGTTGCTTACGTACGATGCTCTGTAGGTATCGAGAAGCCGCCTGGAAAAGAACGAAAGAAGAAAGCGGAAGAAAGTGAAAACTCACATTCGTATAGTTTCTCTTTTAACATTACTTGTAGATAAAAGTTATTTTATTCTAGTTAGCAGATTTTAAACGATATAAAATTCAGTCAAATTACAGTAATTTTTTAATTTAAAATCTATTTAAAACCGAAATGTGATTTAACGGATGTTCTTTTTTTGCAGAAAACGTTGGAAAGGAGGCTTCATAGAATTTTTTTTTTTTATCGAGATTAATAGGAAATGTTTTTGAGATAATAAAAAGCTTGAACGAGGTACAAACTATACTTAGTGTAACAATCCATTCTGATATAAGCACTGATTCTTACGGTAATTTTGTCATACACTATCTCATTGTCGTGTAATAGCTTCTATGTAGTTTAATGAGATTGGAAGTATTATAATTAATCTTGATAGGGGTATAACGATTGTTACTTGCTGCACGCATTTGACTTAATGTTTAAGCAGCTTATAAAAGTATCCTTCTATACCCTGTGCCTTAAATAAAGAAAAAAATATTGGGAGAACTGAAGTTTTCTTCAAATTGTATTTATGTGTATGTATAAGCTACCGTTTTCATTCAATTTACAACATTTATTTCCCCACAAAAATTAATACGATTTAAATATTCCATAATTTTTGTCTTTAATTATGAAAAAGTTGATTAAAAGCAACCAAGCTTTTTTAACTAGTATCTATATTCATAATTATATTTATTAAATTTTCTCTAATTCCATTTTTATATTGCGAAAAAAGTAAGATATATAGATAATATTTACGTGGATATGTAAAGTATGTTATTTTATAAACGATAAATATAATTTAATTTTTCCACAATTTTTATGCCTAATAATAAAACGATAGAAAGAATGGAATTTTTACTGAATAATATTTATGTATAACAAATATGCGAATTAAACTATTCGTTGAATGTAGAATATTTATTTTCACAAGAAAGCATTTTATAATCAACGTCACTTATGTTCCAGAGTTATAAATCTTGTCTGTACTGGAAATTTGAAAATTCGCACTTCGGATTACGATGTCATTTTTCGTATAATTCAAAGATGTACTTCTATACTTTCCTTGTGTTTCTCTTTTTCTGAGGTAATCTGTCAATTAAATTAACAAGCAGATGTTAGTGAATACTCGCTGTATTCGTCCTCTCTCTCGAGAAACCATAATTGATCATCTCGTAAGTCAAACGCAGGCTACGATGTTAAAGGAAATGATATTATATCGTGCTCACACCTGTGCTACTGGTCGCTTTACATGCCAAGGTTGCAACGCAGAACGGTATAAGTATTCGTTCGTGACGTTAATTTATTCCCGGTGAATCGAAAAATAATAAGAATTCTAAAATTACAAGTCCTGTAGACGCGATGAGGTGTTTTATCTTGAACTTTAGTTTCGTATGAAAGAAATCCGAAGCACGGTGATGGTTGACGATCAACAACGTGGGCTTAGTCATTTTCAAACGTATACTATCTATGAGTGTTTTCTAATATAATAATATCCTACACGTTATACACCTTTATTTCTTTTATGCTACTTTTTTCCACACACTGATATAATTTATCAATATGATGACTCTATACTGGAGATAAAACATTACGAGTCCATTAAGAATATGTAATTTATAACAACAGTATTTCAAAGAGATATGAAATAATACTTATGTGAAATATATTACCAGTTTTTGAGGTATTCGCTACAAGATGGTGGAATCTCTTAATCTTTCAGTGTCATCGTGATTATACTTTGCACACTTCAGCTGTTATAATTATATACGTTATATGTTGTAATAAATTATTTTGACGTATGTTAAATATCCTCAGATTTTCAAATTATTTATTTTAATCGCAATTGTTGATTTTTCATATTATAATTATAATTGTAACATTATGTATGTTAAATATGTTTATGATATAGCGTTATCAATTATTTTGACGTATGTTAAATAGCTATTGTCAAAATATCGTCAGATTTCCAAATTATTTATTTTAATAATAATTATTAATTTTTCAAATTTGTATAGTTATAGTTGTAATATTACGTATATTAAATTTTTTTATGATATATTGTTATAAATTATTTTGACGTATGTTAAATATCTATTGTCAAAATATCGTCAGGTTTTTAAATTATTTATTTTAACAACAATTGTTATATTTTCGTATTATTATAATTATAATTGTAATATTACGTATAGTAAATATATTTATTATATATCGTTATAAATTATACAGGAGTATGGCAACAATCGATTGTCAAAATATCGTCAGATTTTTAAATTATTTATTTGAATAACAATTGTTAATTTTTTATATTATTATAGTTATAATTATTCAACTATTACTATAATTATAATTATTAGTATTAGTATAATTATAATTATAATATTATATTTATGATAAATTATCTTGAGAAATATTAAATATAGATTGTCAAAATATTTTCAAATTTTCAAATTGAAAATCTGAATTTTCAAAATATTAATTAAAGGATTAATAATTATTTAACTATTACTGTAATTATAATTATTAGTATTAGCATAATTGTAATTCCAATATTACGTATATGAGAAATTATATTGGGGAATATTAAATATCGATTTAAAAATATCTTCAGATTTTCAAATTGATAATCTGAATTTTCAATTTCGAATTTGCAAAATATTAATCAAAAGATTAATAATTATTCAACTATTACTGTTATTATAATTATTACCATTAGCATAATTCTAACTCTAATATTATGTACACGATGAATTATGTTAAATATCAATTGGCAAAGTCCATTTGGCCTTTCAAATTATTTATATCAATGATAATTGTCAATTTTTGACAGCGTGCTGATTTTCTGTTCTGTTTTAGCGTCGCTGATAATTCGAGACACATGTCGGGATAAAAGACGGATGTAAAAAGGATTCGGCAATGATCTGCAACTACGTAACGATGTTTGACTTGCAATAACGCCCTAATCGTCGATTTGTAATAGCCGTATGCTTACCGGCAGTGAGGCAATAGACGTGTTAGTCGTTTAGCTCGACTCGATTCGCTACTCGTTTCTTGACTCCGCTTCTCCGCTCGCAAGAATCTCTTTCTGGGTCAGAAAATATACGACGAGTGTCGGTCGATATGACTAACAATAAGTCATAGACCAGAAGCCACCTCGGAGAATTCTCATCGCTGCGCCGGTGCTCGAGATGATGGAGACGCGAATAAGTGATAATCGATAATCGAATACCCCAAGTTCGAATGTTCGCTCATTGCGAAACAAGACTGCCGGGGATGGCCTAAAAAATTAACGTGTTTTCTATCTAAGGTCGTAAAGTCGCTTTAACTGGTCGCTTTATTGCGATTCATTCGTTGCAAATTATGTTTTATGCACGCGCAGTTTATCTTTAGTACGATCTTAGGTAGATGTTACGGAGCCTGCCCGTGCAGGATATGAGCCCTGCCAGGAGGGCTGCTGTGCCATGTAAAAATATTTCTTTTAATCGTATCTCCAAGTTTCACAACGAACACAATGAATAGCTGCACGCGAAAATGAGCAAGCCTGTTACTTAATTAACCACGATCAATCTCAATTCTATCTCCTATGAACTTCAATTGCTAACTGTACCGAGTTACGATAAAATCTTTTGTCTTTTAATTACGCAGTTAAAACGCAGTTCAGTTACTTTCTAATTGTCTTGCTGATTTCTTTCGCAAACATGGATATAATGGCAGATAATTAATACGTTGATAATACGAATACTATACCTTTGTCTAGCGTAATTACCCGAAGGCATCAAATCTAGGTGAACCTCCTAATCTTCCAAGTTAGCCGAATTACGCGCATAATTATACCTCGAAACATTTGTTTTTCCTAGACATCATAAATTCCTTTAAGATTCGAATTTCGAATTCGATTTTTGTCTCACACCTCTATTGAAAAAGTTTTTGTACCCGAACAAAAACTTTATTTATATTCTTCCTAGAAGCGACTATGAATATGCAAAGTTCCCTAAGTATATTAAATGACGTTTAAATAGTTGCGTGCGATTATACACAAAGCACGGTACATAAATACGCGTAGCATCGGTGTGAAGTGTAACAGCGTAAGAAATAATAGACACAGCGTTATAATCACTTTTGATTTCGGCTTGTGCAACTTTCGTCTCGCGAGTAGCGTAGGTTGCCAACAATAAGCGAATAATTAAAGGCGCCCCGACAGTATTTATAGTTTATCATCGCGCCATCTCTTCGATTGTACTTTCCATCGATTCGTCAACTGGCAGAATTAAGGTTCGATTGAGCTAAATCGAATTGGAAAACTACGAATTATTATAAAAGCTCGAATTAGAGGACTAGATGGACAAAAGATTGGTCTTCGATTGGTGGGAAGAAAAATAAAAGAGAAACGGTGGTAGCGTTTGGAAGTTGCCTAGCATTTCGACACACACGCGTAAAGGACAAACCCGGGAGATCGGCGTTCCTCAGAACGATTTCACCGGTTCCCCGAGACAGATCGCGCACACCTATCGCTACCAAGTGTGCATCGCGAATCGTGGTGGGGCCGGGCGAGCGAGCGGAGAGTTGGCAGGCCTGCCCGCTGACTACGTTCTCTCGCTCGTGGACTGTCAGAGTCCACAGTCCTAACTCGGCCTCAGGCTACGATAGATCGTATCTTACGTCGGTTCGATCTTGCCGCGAATTCATCTCGCGCGCGTCAGCCTTGTCCCTACGTCCTCAACTACGATCCAACGACCTTCGATCATCACCGAAACTCACCGGTACCTTTTCTTCCACAGAGACTGTCGTCGGCCAACTTCCTTCCAAAACGGTCCTCTCCTCTCCTTTCGAGTGCTGGTGAACCCAAGAATTCAAGGATACCTCGCTGTTCCAAGGATACCTTCCGCAGGATACCTAGCTGCTGGGACCTAGGAGGTAAGCACACGTGCTTTTCCACCTCTTTGTGAGAATACGCTAGATCAGGCTGTTAATTTCGATTCAACGTCCTCCTTTTACTATGTCAACTTTCTGCTCGTTTGTTACACCGAAGATCACCATGATAGTGCGTATATAATTTTAGGTTTCGAATTTTCAAACGTTCTTTACGGTGGTAAAGTTGTGAAATTCTGTCGAGCAAAAGGGAACTTTCATCGGTTCCTTTTATCCGGCATACGATCTGCGATTAAAACTTCTTATCGCGCCACGTAGAATAGCCGGAATAATCTTGGCGTTGATCTAAATCTAGTTTCTTGATAACGAGTAACACGGCCATTTATTTGATGCCTAACTGCACTTTCTTTGTAACCCTAATGGACAGCTATTTATACCTGTGTCCTGCGCAGATTATCTCCAATTCTTATCGTCCATCTCGTGACTTTTGTAAAACTCTTCTTCCGGTATTAAGTTAGTTGAGCCGTGTTTCTCTAAAATTAGAATAAATCGCTGGAAATCGAATAACGCAACCTCGAGACAGTCAGGGTCGGTCAGTGGGGTCTATTTTGTTTTGACTTGTGACAAGTAACGAATAGGCTAACGCGTCACTATACTTTTTCCCCAGATAGTATTGCAGAAATTTGTTTTGACACTTATTCCATTTGAAAAATTTCTATTCATAACAATTCTTCTAATTTATATTCCAATGATTGCCAATAAATTATGCAAATTTTTACGTAAATGTTTATGTGATTAACAACTTTTTAAAGTACTCGTGTCATTAATTATGTAACTTTATAATTATATATTACACGATAATACGATATTAATAAAATTTGTAATTATTAAATTTAAATTATTATATAATCATGTAATCGATGTTATAATAATTCTCGAAGTACCACAGTCATATTTGCAAAAGATTGCTATTGATTTGCCCATGATTATATGTTATATCGAGAAAGCGATTTTATTTTAATTTCTTTTTTCGTCTGGTCTTTCAAATTTATAATAAAATCATTAGAAATCGTTTATTGTTATCAGATTTATTTATAAGTGAAGAAGTATCCCAAAATTTTTCCATTTTATTCGATATAAAATATCTCTGAGGCGTTCTTGTCTCGAATTATGAACATTTAAAACTCGTAATACGACTTTTAATAAAAAATGAATCATTATTTTATTAACTTATCTTAGGTATCTTAATCTAATCTTGAAATTATTATCCCAAGAAGGGGAATGTTGATGCAAAATATGATAAATGTACAGATTCCTAGTCATTTTACGTAATTACATCAGGCTGTTATTAAAATTAGATCCATTTCTCGATTTTATTTCAAAGAATTTACACGTTTGGATAAATAACGTTAATTTAATGGTCAGTTAGAGTAGAAAAAGGTATAAGAAGAATTAATTTCCCCCAAGACATCGATCCTCTTAATATTCTCTGCGATTTTTAACAACGTGCACAGTCGTTTAGATAATTTTCATGCTAAACACTGTTACTGATCCATTTCAGTTCCCCCGTCCTATTTTTACACACACGCACAGTCGCATGATTTCCATTCTCCGCGGATATGGAATTAACATAGGCTATACTATTGAAAAGGAAATCCCGATGACTGGATTGAGCCTTTAAACGAGCAATGAAGTACTTTACCCGAGGAAGTAGTATTTCAGAGTAATTATGGGATGCGAGTTGAGCAATTGGAGGAAAAACGATGTATTTAATGATTAACGATTACATTCCATCATCATCGAATGCTCAAGATGCATAGCAAATTGCTACCTCTAAAATATAGACCACCCTATCGTGAGACTGACCTGTCACGGCTTCTTGGTAACAGCGTTTCTGCATTTGCGAAATCATTCTGCATCACTGACATCCAGTTTCACATGTGAATTACACTGGCAACGGAGAAAATTGTTGCGGTGATGTCAGTTGGTTGACACGCCTCCGTTACTCCTACAACCTCTTCGTTCATTCATCATTTTTTCCTGCACCCAAGGTATCGACTCCTCGTTTGCTACATCTGGTACAACAAACGCGTTTATCCTAGTTTCTTCATATTTTCTTTTTTCATTTTTCGAGCAGCAGTTGAACGGTGCATCCTGAACGGTGTCAGATCAGCAGTGAGACGATGGCGGTCCTGACGTTATTCTACGAGTGAAATTTATTTCCATCACGGCATAGGAAGATTATCGACGGGTTAACACGTGTATGCGTGATTGGATTGCAACGTGTGTCACGATTAGTCACGCCATCTAGGCATGCTTCCCGTCTTCGACTTGGGAAACAAGTAATTTCGAAAAAATTGCTATCATCTCGGGTTCATGTCAGGATACATTGGGTTCATTAGTTTGAACGAGTGTCCAAGTCTGTTTTTCTCACGTGGACATGTATCTGTGTGGATAGCAATACATTATGGTAGCAAAGTTCATGTCACTTTCAACTTTGCTTCTGGCACTTAGTAATATTTCAACTAGTGTGAGATACATTGTATTCTTAACTTGCATATGTGTCAAAGCCTGACACTTAGTAATATTTTAGCTAGTGTGAGATACTTTACATTCTTTGTACATGTGCCAAAATCAGTTCTTTTCTTGTTTAACGTGGCAATATTTCTGTAAATATGATTGAAGTTATGCTACAAATGAATAGGAGTTTTAGTATCACATTTACTATTGCTTCTGTCACTTAATGACACTGTAATTTGTATGAGAATTAGTATTGGTGAAGGCTGTTGCTATCAGGATGTATTAGATTCAATAATTTAGACATTTTTACATTATATTTGGTGAATATGGGTAAGGTTATTATCCCAAATTGTTATTATATTCAATTTATATTAGGTCTGTCACTTAGTAATATTTCAGCTAGTGTGAGATACATTGTATCTTTAACTTCTACATGTGTCAAAGTCTGTCACTTAGTAATATTTCAACTAGTGTGAGATACATTGTTTTCTTAACTTGCATATGTGTCAAAGTCTGTCACTTAGTAATATTTTAGCTAGTGTGAGATACTTTACATTCTTTGTACATGTATCAAAATCAGTTCCTTTATTGTTTAACGTAGCAATATTTCTGTAAATATGATTGAAGTTATACTACAAATGAATAGGAGTTTTAGTATCACATTCACTATTGCTTCTGTCACTTAATGACACTGTAATTTGTATGAGAATTAGTATTGGTGAAGGCTGTTCCTATCAAGATGTATTAGATTCAATAATTTAGACATTTTTACATTATATTTGGGGAATATGAGTGAGGTTATTATCCCAAATTGTTATTATATTGAATTTATATTAATGCAATTTATATTAGGATTCCTCAATTTACACAAATGTCGAAGTTACTTCCTAAAGAATCTTCCATTTCTGTTATTGTGGTTAAAGTTACATCAGAACCTCAATATTGCTTCTATCACATACCAAGATCTCAATTTGTGTGAGAATAGGTATTGTTAGAAATTGTAATTACCTCAGTTTTCATGTCAGGATACATTCCATTCCTCAATACGTGTAAATATTTATTTCAGTTTCTTTTTGAATATACATACATATTTTTGTGAATATCCCTAATTTCGCTGTCTCTTTCAACGTTGCTTGTATCAATTGAGTCTTCAGTTTGCCTGAAAACTGGTTGTGAAAACTATTGTCACTTCTCAATGGTATGTAGTTATTATTAGACCTCTTAGAGGCCATCCAACTTCTAATGGTGTTGCTCCATAGTGAGTTATTTCGGCTCGAAATAGCTCTGTCGAGGATACGAATGTTCATTTCAAGGGCAAATATTCCAGAACTTCCAATTTTCTTAAGCGAGACTGCGATGCTGGATTTGTCGTAGACAGGCTCAGGATTACACGCTGCTTTGATTAACGTGTTGCGCAATGCCTATCCAGGCTATGACAAGAGCCTAAGGTCGCGCAGGTATATACTCGAACATAACTAATCCCAAACAAACGATCACGTACGTACGTGAAATTTCGGTAATTTCTTTTTCCGTGTACATATTAGCGAAAATTTGCATACTTACGCAAGGGGCGACTAAGAGTGTAGTATTTTTATTTAAACAGGGTATCTTTTTTAGGTAACACGTATTTTAGGGAACCCTGGTCCCCGAGTCAATGGAAGAAAGTTTTTTCGGGAAAAAGTATTTTTATTTTCTAAAGGAAGATATTTTCGTCAATTTTATGGAATATATTTTATATTATTAAATTTTATTAAATTTTATGTTATTAATTACTAAATATTATTCGATAATAATATTTTATTAATCTATCTTAATTGTTTATGGTAGTAATAATGTCGAAAAATAAAAATCGACGAATAATAATAATAATAATAACAATAACAGTAACAATAACAATAATAACAACGTTATAAGGTATTTTTGAAATTTTCGAATGTGACTGAAGAAATAATTCCTATATAAAAATTAAACAAATTATGGATGTGTTTTAATAAATTTTCAATAAATTCAGGTTTATGGAATATTAATGGAATTTTATGAAATACTGAATTAAAAGAATTTGTATTAAAAGAAATTCATGAAATCATCAAATTTTTGTCAAAAATGTGTGTTCTTTGTTAATATATAAGAAGACATAGTTACAAATTGATTATATTAATATAGTTATATTATATATTTATTATTATAT